GGCTCATTTAAGTAAAACCCCTACAGTCATTCAACCGGCACATTTTCATACTCTTGGTACAGAACTGCCCCCTCTTGCCACACCCACATATGTTTGATCTTCCTGATGTTGACTCTGTGCTCATTATTCTATTTTTCCTTCTATATTATCCTGCTTGCTTCCTCGCGGTATGATTAAACATGTCCTGTTCTCTGCATCTCTCATGTACTGGGAGTTAAGTCTAAACATTCGATAAGTCAGTTCAATTTTTAGTAAGAACTCCTCTCGGGTACACTGTGTCTTTCCTACTCTGTCATTTAAAGCCGTAAGTTTAAGTCTGCCAACCAGGGCAAAAATGTATTCAGTTTGAGGTCTAGTAGGAACTATTTTTCCCCCAGGCCTAGGAGGGATTACTCTAAAATTGATCATTAGCCAGAATTTAACCACACATATTTTACTAACAGTTAATAAGAGACACTGAAAACACTTCAGGAGTTCAGACACAGAAGACTTTTACAACATTTTACAATCAGCCACCCCACCTCATCCTGGAAAATCACCTGAGATAAAAAAAAAAAATCAAGGAAGAGAATTTATTTTGAATATGGATAAGCAGATCAATAGATGTTTCTTGAATGTTAGTCAAATTTCATTTTCAAAATTTTTATTTAGGAGCCAGAGCTGTGGCATAGCAAATAAAACCTCTACCTTGGGTGCCAGGATCCCATATGGGTATTAGTTTGTGTCCCAATTGCTCTATTTCTTTTGTTTAAAAAAATTATTTATGTTTATTGGAAAGGCAGTTCTGCAGAGAAGGTACAGAAATATTTAACACCTGTTGCTTCACTGCCCAAGTGGCCACAATAACTGCAGGTGAGCCAATTCAAAGCCAGGAGCCAGGGGTCTCCTCCAGGTCTCCTACATGGTGCAGGGTCCCAAGGCTTTGGACCTTCTTCTACCAATTTCTGAGGTCATAAACAGGGTGGGCTATTTGGGAGGTGGAGCAGCCGGGACACAGACCAGCACCCATACGGGGTGCTGGCACTTGGAGGTGGGGGATTAGCCAATTGAGGCATCATGCTGTGCCCCCACTTCTGATCCAGCTCTTCGCTAATGTATCTGGGAAAGCAGTAGGAAATAGTGCTTGTTGGAGTAACAGAGTGCACTGTGTCCCGTGTGTTCTGAACTCCCTTTTGTTCGTCTTCCTTACATCGGGAATAGCCAGCTCCAGTTTCTAGTGTGGGTTCTATATGCTCTCTAAAGAGAGAAATGAAATTATCCAAACTCTCTTTAACATTTCACCCAAGTCTTAAAAATGCCATGCAGCTGTTTACAATAAAGCCTGGATAGATTGTCTAAACCAATGGAAAGTTTCCTTCCTCTTTGTGGGAATAAGGGGGCAGCAAGGTAGGGAAAAACCATGCCTCCCCGTGTCTCCTCTCAAGAAGTTCAGCTGGTTATTTGTTGCCTAAAGGATAGGGAAAGATAAAGTACTGGAAAGAGAGCTGTGAAAGTGTGGCCAATGAAATCTTAGTCTCTAGCAATAAGGCTTGGGCAATTTATTGAACATTCCTCAACTTCTATTTACTCATCTGTTTTTTAGGCTACCGTGAAAATTCCATATAATGTACAAATGGCTCATTACTACAAAATCTAGTGCATAAGAATAACATTTCATAAGTGTAATTTATTTGATAGCTTAAAAAATGCAAATCTTGTAGCGCTTGTGGGGAAGCAATGAATGTGACCATCGGCAAAAGCAGCACTCACGTGTCATAGCTCTGACTGGCCACTCGAGTCTCCGCAAGAACTTCTGCGAAGCCAGGGGGCTCTGACTAGGGAGTGGACAGGGATGTCCCACGTCATTTGTGTTGATGAATGGACCGAGTCGGAGCGAGATCAGATTCAAGTCCTACAGTTTCCCACAGAAACGAACAGTGCCAGTGCCATAACAACACTTCCTTAAAGCACAGCCGTTCCTTTGCTGGATTCCTATGTGTATTCACAAAACTCTGGTAATGAACCCCCAGAGGGGCTGGATCTGCTCCTAACTACCTGTGTGTGGAGATTTGGAATTTTAAGTGGCAGGAAAGTATTTTAGTGTCTCAGAGGAAATGAATACAAAATGAAGTATGTGGAAGAGACAAAGCTAAGCTAGAAGACTATTAGAGTTCAGTTTACAATTCTTGAAAATAGAATTTGTTGTAAGACAACTTCTCCCGTCTCAGCCCCACACTGACTTTTCTAAGAAACCATAGTTTGGGGGGCTGATGCTGTGGCACAGTAAGTTAAGCTGCTGCCTACACCACTGGCATCCCAAATAGGTACCAGTTCATAGCCTGGCTGCTCCACTTCCAATACAGTGCCTGCTAATGACCTAGAGAAGCAATGGCAGATGGCTTAGGTACTTTGTCCATGCCACCCATGTGAGAGACCTGGGTGAAGCTCCTGCTTTGGCTTGACTCAGTCCTGGCCTTTTGGCCAACGGAGGAGTGAACCAGGGATGAAAGAGCTTCCTGTGTCTCTTCTTTCTATATAACTCTGATTTTCCAATAAATAATCTTTTTAAGAAAAGAAAGAAATGAGACTGTCACCTAGATCTCTCAGCTCCTCCCTCCCTGTTGAACCCCAATTCTATAAAGTAACCCTATTCTCAACAAGATCTTTTACCATCTTTTCATTTAGCAACCAGTGGCTATCTAGCATCTTCATTTAAAAAAAAGATTTATTTATGTATTTGACAGGCAGAATGATAGAGCGAGTTTCCAACCAACTTCCAAGTCACTCCCCAAATGCCCTTAATAGCTGCAGCTGTCCCAGGCCAAAGACAAGAGCCAGGAGCTCCATCTGGGTGGCAGGATCTCCTGTACTTGAGCCACCATCTGTCGCTTTACCCAGAAGCAAAGTAACCAGGACTCAAACCAGCTCTCTTATTTTTTTAATAATAAATCCATTTTAGTTTTGATGATGTTTACATAGTTGAGAGGGATGCATGCCCGTGTGGACCACCAGTTAGTTGGGGTGGGGAGGTTCAAGGAGTAGGGGAAAGGTGAATGAGATATCAGTGCCCAGGAGTGGGAGAAGGCCACGCAGTGTCATCCCAGGGTCCCCAGTGCGGAGATGTTCCGAGGATACTGCTGAAGTGGTTTTCATATTTCTGAGATGCTGTCAATTTCATTGCTCCTAGGTCAAACCATCTCTCTTTTTTTTTTTTTTAAAAGATTTTATTTTTATTGGAAAGGCGGATATACAGAGAGGAGAGACAGAGAGGAAGATCTTCCATCCGATGATTCGCTCCCCAAGTGAGCACAACGGTCGATGCTATGCCGATCCGAAGCCAGGAGCCTCTTCCGGGTCTCCCACGCGGGTGCAGGGTCCCAAAGCTTTGGGCCGTCCTTGACTGCCTTCCCAGGCCACAGGCGGGGAGGTGGATGGGAAGAGGGGCCGCTGGGTTTAGAACCGGCGCCCATATGGGATCCCGGGTGTGCAAGGTGAGGACCTTAACCACTGCGCCACCGCGCTGGGCCCAAACCATCTCTCTTATATGGAATATAGGTGTCCAGAGTGGTGGCTTAACCCATTACACTGCAGTGTAGACCTCACAGCAGCATACCCTACATCTCGCATCCCTAACCGCTGCCAGACCCAATTTGGGTGAAACCTTTAGCGAGATGACCTGAAGCATCTGCCTGCTAAGCTTAGCATTCTACTGCAAACGCCAGATAAACTTCAAATATTCTATTTTAAGCTGCATTTAGCCCTTATTAAACTATAGCAAGCTATTTTTTAAATGTTTTCAATCTGAAAGTCTTTATTTATTGTCCTGAACACCCAGAGGCTACTTGAAGAAGGATCTAAATGTCAGGCCTGGTAAATTTCCCAATAACATCTTCAGGCAAGCACCCAAAGACCTCATTTTCACTGTAATGTTTGGGTCCCCCATAATTGTCCATTAGTACTGTGTTCAACCACAATGTTTTATAATCATTTAAAAAACATTCCTCCAAACACTGAGATGTCTACCCATTTATTTTTCTTCTTCATCATCATGTTAAGCAAAAACACAAAAGCAAAAGCAAGCCAAGTTTAAATGTGGTATTATTTGACTAGACCCTAAATAGATTAAATTGAATAGGCAGTTGGGGTGTTCATATGACAACTAGTTTGGAGTTGGTTATTCATTGTCCTCCCACGAGTAGAAAAATGCCCAGCAGGGAGGTTAGAGACACAGAGGCTAGCAGACCTGGCTCTGGTTCTGTGAGAATTCCTAAGGCTTCAAAATTCACTCCAGAATCTGCTACCTACAATATTACCTGGAACGGGCCTTGGTCGCTATGTGCCTTCTGGCATCTGAAGCTGTCCATCAAGGCTGCTCTAGCACTGTATGCTGATGAGCAGAGAAAAGTTGGTATTTGTCAGGACATGCTAACCATTACAACAAATGACCTCAGAATCTCAGTGGTTTGCCCTAATAGAAGCTCTTGTTCTCCGCATGGCCATGTGTGGCCTGGTAGGGGTGGAAGTGTGTGTGGAACCTGCAGGCCAGTTCCACCCTGTAGCTGCAGATGTTGCTTCTCCAGTTCATGGAGTTCTCTCTGCTCAGCCAGTTGGGAAGGGAGGCCACAGAGAGCTATACAGAGGATTTAAAATGGGGCCAGGTTAGTGCCAGCACTCATCACTTCCATATTCCATTGACCAAAACTCAACCGGAGGCTCTTCAAAGGAAGCTAGGAAGTGAAGTCTAGCTGCATGCCAGCTCATGACGGTTCCTGCCACAAGGGGAGCCAGAGAGCTCCCCAAGACTCCAAACATGGTTCTGGTCTGTGACCAAACGCATGCAAGGTAAACAGACCCTCTTATTTTAAACTCGCTTAATAGGTCCGTGTCTAGAACAGGTCCATCTGCCAACATCAGCCATCAACTTCTTGGTGGAACTTACTTGTTTATACACAGGACTTTCCAGAGTTTCAAAATACCTTAACCCAGCCCAGGATGACACACTCGCTGTAAATTTCCACACACATGTCCTTACCCTTTTCATCAGAATCTTGACAACTAACCTATCTGAAGACATGTGGCTCATCTAAGCCAACCTTTGGTAAAATGGGACCTATGGAGAGAATAAATGTGATACAAACATTTAAAGAACACCTTTCATACCTGTCTTGGTCCACTTGGCCTCCTATTTTAAAAATTCAGTCGGTTGAGTGGCTTATAAACAGTAAAAATTTTTTTTTCTGATTCTGGAGGTTAGGAGGTCCAAAATAAGGCACCTGGAGACTCAGGGCTGGGAAGGTGCCCTTCCTGGCTGCATGGACAGCACTTCCTAGTGTGTTCCTGCACGGGGAAAGGGGTGAGACTTCTATTTGGGATTTCTTTTATAATGACATCATTCATGAGGGCACTGCCTCTTTGACCTAATTATTTCACAACGATCTTATCTCTTCCTGTCATCATCTTGGGGATCAAATTTCAATGTACAAATTTTGAGAAGATACAAACTTTCCATCTACCACGTCTCTTCAAAGTTGTTCTTAATTGTTCCTGTCTCCTTTCAATCAGTAAAAATGGTCACAGTTGTCATGACTCGATTGCTGCCTGCACTTTTTCTTCCTGTTTTTCTCGTTATGCAGTCTCTAAGGGCTATGTCATAGGTCAATCATTTCAGAAGCCTGAGTTTGTTCTCATGTACGCACAAGCCAGCATCCCCATTGAGATGTTAGCCCCTCCTCGTGGTGGTCACTCATCTTCTACAAGGAACAACACGGCTGGCCAGGGCTGGGCGGAGCCTTGCCGTGCTGTCTGCTGTTCTGGGGACAGCTGTAACTAATCATTGGCCCATCCAGTCCTTCCCTGCATCGTCCAAGCCCAGCACCTCCTGCGGAACTCCTGGGGCTCAGAATGCTACCTTGTATGTATTGCTCCATTTCTTTGCATGTGTACTCATTTAAACAGTTGTTGAATACGTTCTGTGTACCAGGCAGCATGTCAGGTATCAGCGTCAGAGCAAAGAATGACGCAGTGTCCCACTCTCATGGAGCTCATGAAATAGATTCCAAATGAATAATAATGTGAACTAGGAATTATAATGTTTTGCTTCAATTATCATTTCTTCCCTCTAACTGGGTCTCTATTTCTCTGTAGAAACCAGATTCTTTCATTCACCCATAATATTCATTCATTTGCTTGGTTTCATAACGAACTGACTACTTCCCAGGCATTATGCTAAATTCTCAGAAAATATAACTTAAGGGGCAAGATTGTTGCTCCCAAGAACATGGCCAGTAGAGTACCAGCCTGCAAACCACATGATACAATGTGAAAAAAAAAGGTGGAGGGGTTCAGATCTGCCCATACAGGCCAGAGGAGTCTTTGCAGAGGAGCAAAGAATGAAACTGAGATCGGAAAGTGGGTAAGTCTTTGTCAAGCGGACAAAATCAAGGCAAAGTGAGATGTTTGATCACCAAAGACTGGAGCTCTTCTTCCACAGCATGACCCAACTAACTACCAGTCACCAATGTAAACAGGACCATAAGACTAGTTCTTATCAACAGAGTGTGAACAGAAGTATACATTGCACCAGGACCACATTAAGAAGCAGATGTACCTTGGATTCCTTTTCGTTCCCAGCTACCAGAGCTGCTAAGTGAAGGTCTCTGAAGCTTAGAAGACAGCAGAGCTGCAAAACAGAAGGGACGTGGGTGAAAAACTGTTTGCCACACTCAACCACTTTTTCTATACAGTTAAGAAATAGTGTTTTTAAGGCCAGTGTTGTGCAGCGAGTTAAGCCGTCATTTGGGATGTTGGTGTCCTGTATGGGCAATGGTTTAAGTCCTGGCTGCTCTGCTTCTGACTCAGTTCCCTGCTAATGCGCAGGGTGTGGGCTCCTGCACCCACATGAGTGACTCAGATGGAACTCCAGGCTCCTGGCTTTAGCCTGGCCTGGCTCCAACCAATGCAGCTATTTGAGGAGTGAACCAGCACATGAAAGATCTCTCTCTCTCTGTCTGTCTCACTCACTATTCTCTCATTCTCCCTCTGCCTGTAATGGTATCTTTCAAGTAAATAAATGCATCTCTAAAAATTTTTTAAATCCTATCTTGTGTTAACCTAATTATATTTTATAGCCTGTTAAAGCAGCAAGCTCTAGTCTAATTCATATAAGGCATCCCAATCAAAGTGAGTGCCAAGGCTGTGAGTGTTTAATAGAGAATATATGATCAGTAAAGACTTGCCAGGGCCTGGTAGAGTGGCCTAGTGGCTAAAGTTCTGCCTTGAATGCACTGGGATCCTATATGGGTGCAGGTTCTAATCCCAGCTGCTCCACTTCCCATCCAGCTCCCTGCCTGTGGTCTGGGAAAGCAGACGAGGAAGGCCCAAAGCCTTGGGACGCTGCACCCATGTGGGAGACTTGGAGGAAAATTCCTGGCTCCTGGCTTGGGTCAGTGCAGCATCATCCACTGCAGTCACTTGGGGAGTGAATCATCAGAAAGATCTTTCTCTGGCTCTCCTCCTCTATATATCTGACTTTGAAATAAAATAAATCTCTTTTAAAAAAAAGACCTGCCATACAAGAAAGGGCATTGTAGGAAAGTGCAGTATTGGCATAGTATAAACTATGTGATTGGTGAGAGGGAGCGTGAGAGCGGCTGGCTGGGCGTGGACAGATCATGAAGAACACGGAATGCGATGCAGGTGGAGAAAGGGAAGCCAACGAAGAGCATGTGAGGAAGCACGTTCACTGGGATCGCAGAGTCTTTGTGAAAAAGAATACCAAAGAACCTGCTTTAATGTGTTTCAAATGTCAGATGCTAATCCGAAGATGAAAGATTTTAGAACCAGAATGTACCATAGTCTGGTCAAATGTCATTGAACAAATGAGGAAAGTGATGCCCAGAGGAGCCAAGGACCCTTGCCAGGATCAGCCAGCTGCAGCCTGGCAGGGCTGAGCACTGAGAGGCCCTGCAGCAGTGCTGCCTACCCGCTGTACCACAGCACTTCAAAGCAGCTGGGACCAGCTGGCTCGCCTGTGTTTTCAGTTTCCTAATGAAGGCATGAGGGATTTGGAGGCAGATGATTTTCCATGGAAGACCATCTTTTCCGTAACTCCACATTTGACTTGAAGCACTGTTTTGGAAAAGATCCACTTTTCAGTGTTGAATCTCCCTGAAGGACAATTGGGAATGTGTTTAGTGGCCTGCAGGGTGCCTTGCTCTCTGAGACTTTCTTGGGAAGCCAAGAAGAAAGTTGCAGCGGTTTAAGCTCCTGGCAACACTGCATTGGGAGCATGTTGGCTCCCTTAGAGTTATTGTGGTTCAGCTGGTCAGCTAATTGTCCTTTAGTCCAAAACATCTTCTTCCTCTTGTCTCTATATAGTCAGCCACCTATGCCGAACATCTTAATTCCATTTTCTGCTCATTCTCCGTTCACTGCTTCTGTCATTCACGTGTTAAGCTTATCATTATTTATTACAATTATTTTTATTCTGTTCTATGTGCTCTTGCAGACTTTTGTTTCCCAATGGCACACAGGAGTGAAGAGACAGCTGTGTGAAGACCAGTCCCAGGGACATGAGATCTGAAGTAAGTAGGACTTAGGTGTGGAGTTATTGAACAACTGGGAAGCCACAGAGTAAGCTGGCATGTGGGGCAGGGAAGATTGCTGCAAAGTCTCTCAAAAGTTCCTTAGTGTGTTGGGGGTCAGGACGCTGCAGCCCTGTTCCTTGTCCTCTGTTCAGTTAATAGTCCAGTGGGTTACAGTGAGGTGTGCACCAACACAAGATTGCTGCCTCTAGCCCTGTGGAGTGCCTTGGTGGCACTCGAAGGGCGCTTGTTGTGAGAGCTAATGGGTTTGCAACTAGAGTGGCACAATGACCTACAGTATTCACTCCAGCACAAGTAGTGTTTGACCATGGGAGTCTTCCTAGGCTGGCTTGGAGACTGACTGAGGAAGGAGACAGCGACTCCACACACAGTACAGCAAGACAGTCTCACTGTGTGCCGACAGGAGGATGGGGATTGCACATGCCCCTCAATTGCTGTCTCCCCCAAGACCCACCAATCAGATTCAGCCACGCTTCTGAAGACAAGGAACCAGAACAGAGTTGAGGGTCAAACCTTTGCAGGAAATGTCTTTCCTAACATCTTCCTTCCCTTGTCCCTCTCCTCTGCTCATGGAAGACACAGGTGCCAGGGACAGAGGGCAGCTTCCAGTCACAGAACGAAAGCAAGGTATGGAGTGTTGGGGTAGGGAGTTTTGGTTTAGTCACTGGTAGGAGAAAGGGAGTGAACGTTTCAATGTTCAGAGGACTATTCCAGATGTGCAATTGGGATTTCCAAATATGGGGTTATCCTAAGGCCGACTCCCAAGCAGGAGCACGAGGCGGCAGGTTGTCACGGCACATAGATCTGATCTGTAGCCCCAGAGTTGTATGTTCTGGATTTGACTCAAATCCGGAAGCATTGTGTCATATATTTTCTGCTACAGTTTTAGTCTTTAAGATATGAATGCACTTGTGATTATAAAAATAATAATGCTCAGTGTGAAAATTTAGAAACATGGGCAAATATAAAATAAGAAAACAGCGGCCAGCTAACACACGGATTTAAGCCGCTGCTTGCAACACTTGCATCTGTATTGACATGTCATTTGGAGTCCTGCCTTTTTCCACTTCCCATCCATTTCCTGCTCAGGTGCCTGGGAAGGTAGTAGAGGATGGTTCCAGTGTTTGGGCCCCTGTCATCCATGTGAGGGGCCATGATGGATTTCCAAGTTCCTGCTTCAAACCAGTCCAGCCCTGACCATCACAGCACTGACAAGTAAACCCACAGGTGCCAAACGTCTTGTTCTCTCTGCCTTTACCTCTTCGTGTGTTACTCTACATTCCAAATAAATAAGAAAAATAGTTCAAAAAATGATAAACACCCATGAGTGATTCAAGACTTCAGACTTTGGAAAAAGAGAAACCATACACTGTACTAGCAAACACATCTAGAAATTAGACTGCAATGGCGTCACTACAATTAGTCACAGCTACTGAGCCCGTTCGCAGGACTCTGCCCTTTCCCAGTAGTACCACACACTCATTTCCTGAGAGACAGGCTGTCTCAGTTCCCGGGGAAATTAGAGGAATTGCTCCAGAGAGCCTAGGAGAAGTCTGAGGGACACAGCGACTAAATCGCAGTCTCTTGGAAACCAGGCTTCCAGACCTGCTCCATTCCATGAACTTGTCTTTGCTTCCTGTTTTGCCGATTTTCTAATGTGTGGTAAGTGTTGCGTTGCACTGGTCATCCCATTTCCACTGTGCATGGTTTTTGCTCCTTACCAGGAAAGTTGTGACATTTTATTGTCGTTTAAAGGATATACTCCTCCAGGCACTGTTTCCGGCCTCCCAGACTGTTACATATCACTGTTACTCCAAACATTCCAGTTCCCGCTCCCCCACACACCTCCAGAGCCTCTCTCTCCTGGGTGAGTGCACCCCCTTACCTGCCCCCACACACCTCCAGAGCCTCTCTCTCCTGGGTGAGTGCACCCCCTTACCTGCCCCCACACACCTCCAGAGCCTCTCTCTCCTGGGTGAGTACACCCCCTTACCTGCCCCCACACACCTCCAGAGCCTCTCTCTGCTGGGTGAGTGCACCCCCTTACCTGCCCCCACACACCTCCAGAGCCTCTCTCTCCTGGGTGAGTGCACCCCCTTGCCTCCCCCCACACACCTCCAGAGCCTCTCTCTGCTGGGTGAGTGCACCCCCTTACCTGCCCCCACACACCTCCAGAGCCTCTCTCTCCTGGGTGAGTGCACCCTCTTACCTGCCCCCACACACCTCCAGAGCCTCTCTCTCCTGGGTGAGTGCACCCCCTTACCTCCTGCTTTGGCCAATAAGATGTAGAAGGAAATGAAGTGTACCAGTTTGGGGCCATTTGTGGTTCTCCATCTTTCTTTTCCCTTCTCCTGACCTCTAGTGATGTCTCACACTACAGGGGCGCCATTAGCCCATGTGTGGAGGGAAGACAAATTACAAGGGGAACCATGACTGACTGCAATGAATGGATCATGTGAGTGAGATATAAACTCTCATTTTTGGCACTAAAATTATTTGTTCTTAGAGAATAACCATTGTTTTCCTGGGATCCCATATGGGCACCGGTTCTACCCAGCATCCACCCAGCACATTCGACAGCCAGGACTGGAGCAGGCTGAGGCTAGGAGCCAAGGACTCAGTCCGTGTCTCCCACACTGTCGTCAAGGACTCAGAAACAGCCTGCTACCTCAAGGTGTGTACTCACAGGAGTGAAACTTACAGCAACATTGCCTGACGTTATGCTAAGCACACCGCTGAACCTTAATCAGTTTACTGGAAAGGCATAAAGACAGAGACGGAGATCTCCCACATGCTCATCCACTCCCCACGTGTGGCAAGGCTAATGGTGGGGCCACCTGGCGCCCAGGAGCTGGGTCTCCCACGTGAGTGGCAAGGAAGCAGTAATCTGAACCATCACCTGCTACCTCCTAGGGTGTGCATAGGTGGGAGGCTGGACTTGGAACCCTGAGCTGGGAGTTGAACTGCCATTGCTGGGCCAAATGCTCGACCCAGGTTACTCCTGAAACTCAGTTTCTCTTACTTTTCATCTTGCCATGTTTACTCTTCATGACATCTCTAAGAAAATCTCACCACA